CCCAGCCTACAGGCCCCGGGTCTGTTGTCTATTAGTTTAATTTTCGTGTCGAGTCTCCATCCGGGCTATGAGTTTCCTTGAGGACAAGGACATTATCTTGGTCATTTCTGTGTCTCTTGGACTTCACAGTAACTTACTAAATATTTGTTGACCGTCTTATAGTATATCTTGGCCCGTTCATAACAGGACCAAGTCCTGTTTCTTTGCTTTGCTTGGCGGCCAGCTTGCTGTGGGGGTGGTTTGGTTTTGTAAAATTACGGACCTTGTTGGGAAAGGAAGTAGAATGGTCAGGGGGTGCGGAGAGGGGTGATTCTCGGTTTTTGCCCTAAGTACTTCTGTATCCTTTGAACTGTTTACATGAAGCTTGTGTTTATGTATTACTTTTGTAATAAAGCAATTTATTAGACTATGCTGTTCCTAGGAACGTTTTCCAATTGAGGGGACAAGATGACCCTTTTGGGTAACATTTTCCCATATTCTCTCCAGTGCCCCAGACTCCAGTCCTTCCAAAGGGGTATCATGGCTCTCTCCATTTTGTAATTGTGTCTAACTACACAAAATTACAGGGGACAGCACAGAGATTAGGAATTTCATGTGGGCTATAATTGGGGATCATTTTTAAGTGCGTGGAGTCACTTGCAATATTATTTCAGCTGTGAGTAGATTATAGTTAGTTGTAAGAATCCCTTCATCACACCTAGATGTCCATGAAAAGTTATTTGCTGTACTTCGTCCTCTCATTTTTCGCCGGGAAAGGGAGCCAGTGAACCATGTTTATCCTGGTTCCCAAAGGAGAGAAGGACCACGTCCCTCCACCCTTAAAGAAAACTCTTTTATTTGAAATGTCTTTTCCATTTGCCCTGCTCTGAATAATGGAGTTTTTAAACTCGTTTGTTTTTCTAAATATCAAATTTTCAAAGAAAGGATATTTTTGAGTTCCAAGTGCCTACTTTAGGTCTATAATGGTTCTCCTGGTCTGGCAGCCACCAGCAAGAATTTTTAAAAACAGCATCCTATGGGTCGGTTCAGTAGCTAAAAAGACTATTGAAAGCCAACATTGTTGGCTTACAACGCTGAGACGAATCTCCCCGCAAAATCTTGGCTTTTCCTTGCATGCCGGGGCCTGGAGAGGCCACCTGAGCCCTCCTCTTGTCCCCAGGCAGGCTGCTAGGTGGGTGGCGGGGGGTGGAATTCATTGGGACCAGCAGCCAAGAGGCACACAGCATCTCCAGGCTCCATCAGCTCTGATGCGGGTCTGCTGGGTGGTGACCAGAAGGCCGGAGCTACCCGGAGTAGGAAGCCACGCAGCCTCCTCCCGCCCCCCACCTTCCCACGCACAACATACCTTCAATGCACCCCATACCAGCGCCAGCACCTGGGATTCTTAGATTGATGGCCTCAATACCCCCTAGATCTTTTGCTGTTGCTTTGACTCTGAGCTTCAAAACCATACCGTGTAGAACTTGGAAGACTCAGAAGAACTCCCGAAACCCAGAGCAAGCCGTTTCCGGTTACGTTTCTTACTGGATCCTCGTTTTGGATTCCTCCATCCTTCTAAATGCGCTGCTGGTCCCTTGGACCATCCTTGCTCCAAGCGTAGTCCTGGTCCGGTTGTCAGTTTCTGGTAATGTCAGGGTTTCTTGGTGTGTGGGGGGTGTGGTGGGGAGGGGTGTCAGTTTTTCACATCGGGGCAGGCAATTCTCTGTCCTGTATAATGCAGGACACCTGCCAGCCCCACCCACTGCCAGCCATCACCTCGGGTCCTTATGACCCCCAAGAATGCATTCTCAGCCTGGGGGTGAACGCATTAGGAGCCTCAACTTGGTGGGAGGTTAGTACCACCTGCGGCCTGTAGGGGGCATCAGTACCACTCTCAGCCGCCGCGTGTGAGGAGTAGTAGGGGCCCCAGCTGAGGACCCCAAGGTTCTTAGCTGTGTGCTCTGGCTGGCCGGCCTTTCTCCTCTTTCGTGGTGAGTCCTCAGGTCCTATCTGCTGGCGCCAGCCTCGTGATGGAAGCTCAGTAAATATTTGTCAAACGCATGAATGAGATCCCCAAAGAAGCTTCGAGAAGGCCTGTGAACCTTGTAGAACTGCGTACGAAATGTGTGTCTATTGCATGTGTCATACACATGGGTTTTCTGGGGTCAGAGTTTATGGCATCCTTGATATCTTCCGAGGGAAACCGTGACCTCAGAGGACGTTCCAAAGACTGGTCCTACCGGGGTCCGCTGCGAGCCTGTTTGCATCCTTGCAAACTCCTTGCACAGTGTTTGTGGGATGAGTCTTAGAACTGCAGCTCTAAACTGTATTCCAGTATCCCTGCAGAAAACAATGTCCGGAAAATTCTAGGGGAGACTCTGCTCCGTGAGCGTTCAAGTCCCTGTCATTTTGCCTGGTGACAAGAGATGGCCTCACCCCTGGCACTTTGACTCACTAACTGGAAGGTTGGGTGAGAACAGGGAAGGCATGAGATGTTTCTTCCCGAACTGAAGGGTGTTTCCCGGGTGGCTTTCCTCCTGAAAGCCAAAGAAACTGGTGGCATCACGCTACCTCCCAGAAGCTAAAGGTCACGGTGGCTGGGCGGAGGCGTGAGCAATCGGGACTTGCTTCCTTGCCGAGAGTTCGCCGTTCTAATAAAGCACAGCCCATGCCCCAAGCCACAAAGAACAGCTGGGCCAGGCTGGGGGCTGAGCAGAGGGTCCGGGTTCCAGATTCATTTGCAGACCTGCCCCGTGGTTTATGTTCACTCATGGCCCCGTGGAATGACAGCTTGGCTACGCTGCTGTGGCTTTCGGTGAGGTCTTGGATGCATGGGCGGGGAGGGTAGGGATGGCTCATCCCTGCTGCTTTCCCAGCATCCATCTGCCTGCCCGTCCTGGAATCGTCCTGTGCCAGGAGGAGAAGCTATGGCATTCTAGAAAGTGCCTTTGGCCGGGGAGGGGACAAGACTGAGCAGTGGAAGCACCCAGACTTGGTGTTAATCTCCGGCACAGTCCAACATCCGCTAAGAAGTCAGTGATATCATTCTTCCCAGAGGGATCATTCTCTTTGCAGAAGCTTCCAGCATATCCACTAGGTCATGAGCTCAACGAACTACTCAGGGGGGGAGATGGAAACTCAGAAATCCCTGAAAGCCCAGAGCAAGCTCCTCGTTTTAGTTTGCCTAAAAAAGTCACCTGGAGAGCTTGTTGCATCAGATTCCTTGCCCCCAACTCCAGGTCGTTCGTGGTAATTTGATTTCTTACAAGTTCCCTGGTGCCGCTGATACTGCTGGTCTGGGGACCCTGAGAAGCACCCGCGGAGGCCGTGTTTTCGCATCGTGCTCCGCCGCGCCCCCTTGTGGGGAGATGGTATGAGAACAGCGAGTGAATGGGACACCAAGATCCAGGACACCTCTCTGTCGGTCCAGTCGACAAATCTGTTGGTTTTTTATTTATTTACCTATTTTTTGTGATTAAATGAAGAACCCCTCATAAAAAGGAGAGGCGCGCCCACTGGCCTGGAACAGGGAGGGCCATGCCTGTATGAGGACACGTGGCATGAGACAGCTTCTGCGGATAACCTGAGACCATTCCATGCAAATAAACCCCGAAATGACCAGCTAGGTGAGCAGAGGCAAGGGCAGGCACCACTTCCTGTGTGTGCCACCTGTCAGGTCACCGGAGGCCCTGCCCTGGGGCACCTGGAGCCACAGATGCGCCAGTCTCCTGCCGCCGGCCGGAGGGTTTCCCGGTCTATCTGCTGGCTGGATGCTCAGCTCCTAGAGGCGAAAGGCGGCAGCCTGGCTCCGAGCTTGCCGGTTGCGGTCGGAATGCGCTCCGCACCTCTCTGCCCTGTCCCCACGCCCACCAGGGGCCTCAGCACAGCCCCTTCATCCTCCAAAATCCAACCTCAGGATAACCTGATGCCCTCCTGCGGCTTGGGCCCAACAGTAGCGATCTGGGGTAGAGCCCAGTTTCTGGTCTCAAAGTGCAGGCTTCGACTCGTGGCCACCACCCGGCTGAGAGATCTTGGGTGAATCAGCCTGTCCAAGCCTCCGTGTCCCTGTGTGTAAAATGGTGATTCCAGGTTCCATGTGAGTCTTGAGCAGAGCTGTCCACGTACAGCGCCTGGGACCGCGCCTGGCATTGGTGTGAGCCCTGAGGACATACCGGCCAACGGCTGCTCTGGTCTCCTCTGGATGTTATTTTCGCGGTTTGGAGGAAGCAGGAGCGGGCGCGTGTGTGAGTTTGCTGGGACTGCTGTAACATGGGACCACAAACGGGGTGGGTTACAACAGCGGAGATTTCTTCTCTCACAGTTTTAGAGATAAGTGCAAAATCAAGGTGTTGGCAGAGCCGTGTTCCTCTGGAGGATTTAGGGGCAATATCCCCCCCCCCCCAGGCGTTTCTCGTAGCTTCTGATGGCTGCTGATGGCATTCCCTGGTTTGTGGCTGCTTCACCCCAGTTCCTGCCTGTGTCACCACATGGCCTTCTGTCTGTCTCTGTACGTCTTTTTTTTTTTTTAAGATTTTATTTATTTTATTTTAGAGAGAAAGAGAGCAAGCAGGAGGAGAGGGAGAGGGAGAGATAATCTTACGCAGATTTTGTGCTGAGCTCAGAGTCCCACGCAGGGCTCAGTCTCACCACGCTGAGATCATGACCTGAGCTGAAACCAACAGCCAGACGCTTAACCGACTGAGCCACCCAGGCGCCCCTGGATATCTTCTTATAAGGACACCAGTCCTATTGGATTATTAGGCCCCCCCTAACTGAGTATGACTTCATTTTAATTGGATTGTATCTGCAGAAACCCTATTCCCAATAAGGTCAAGTTCACAGGTACCGAGGGTTAGAACTTGCATGTGTACTTTCAGGGGACACAGTTCAACCCCTCACACTGCCCAGCTAGACTGAGACCGCAGGGGCCGGCGGGCATGAAGGCCCGGAGCTCTTCTCTGAGAAGCTGTATGCGCCTCCCCAGACTTGGACTGAAATGTCCCCACGGTTGTGTTTTCCAGGGTGTTCAGACCTACACCTCTTGGATATGTTGACCCCAACCGAGAGAAAGAGACAAGGATACATCCATGAACTCATTGTCACAGAGGAGAACTATGTCAATGACCTGCAGCTGGTCACAGAGGTAATGGCAGCGGTGGGTGCCGGGGTGCCGGGGTGCCGGGGGGGCACTGGCACGGAGGGTTGGAGAGGAGGGGGTGCTCTGTGAAGGAGGACGGCCTCCCGATTCTCAACATGAGACATTTTCTGATGTGTGGGGAGCATCTGAATGGTAAGTCACATAGAAGATTCATACCCAAGAGAAGATGGTTAGACTCTCAGCCATGGTCCTCTGAGTCATCCCTGTAGAGGGGCACACATGGCTGGTGCCCAGGGCTGGCTGAGTCCAAGAGAAGGTGTACGGGAGGAGACACATGGGCAGGGACTGGGAGTCTAGACTCGACTCAGAGAAGTGGTGTAGTCAATGCCACCGAGCAGGTCCCAGTCTCCCAGCCCTCAGGGTTGGCATGTGAAGGTGGCCGCCGGTCCAGCCAGTATCAAGGTATTCCTAGTGGCCCACGTTATCCCTGAGGAAAGTCTGTGGCTGAGGATGAAGATGTTTCCCTTCCCCCAGCCCCTCCCAGTCCCAGACGACGCCTCGTTTTGTCTCTCCTCCCAGGTAGCTGTCGAAAGGCCTGGGCCACTCAGTCTGGAAGGATGGGGAGATGCAGAGTTGGGAATCCCTGCTTTTCAAGAAGGCTTTTGTCCATAGTCACGGGAAGTGGCCATGTTGGCAAACGGGGGTTCGCCAAGCTAGATGTCGGGGTCACTCTCGACCGTTGGAAAAGTGCTGTGATAGTTTTGAAACTCTTGCCCTCCCCCCTCCCCAGCACCTAACAGCTGTGCAGCCATCTCCTTGGACAGATTTATGCCCAGGAAAGTCACTGCCCAGCTGCCCTGTGTTGAATGAGTACAGAAGGCAGGTCTGGGAGGCCGCCGTTCACACCTAGGAAGTGTTAGTGCCCACTCAGAAAAGGCGCCTGTCCCTCAAGACTCTTGAGCATCCTAAATACACAATCTCGGATGTCTAGGATGCGAGTGTCACCCTTCAATGCGGCACTCCCATGCAGTGGTCTGGTATATTGCCAGGTTCAAGGTCGGCTGAAGGACGCATGAAGAATAGGGCTCCCAGGGAGCGGCCTGAGACCCCCAGCCGCGTTTATGCCAACCATAGACTGTCCCATCTCTAAAGAACCTTCAGGAGCTCACCCTGCCTCCGGTGGTAGATAATGACCTCTCGGGAGGCGGGGGCTCCCCACGGGGAGGGATGGGGGTTGCTGGGTGAAGAGCTGTGATTTACCCCAAGTCGCCCAACCCCACAGGGCTTGGAGCCCTAGCAGGCCCCTCTCTTGCCCACAGCCAGTCCCTATCCCAGCCCAGCCCAGGCTAGAAGCCCCCAGCCAGGCTCCCGCTGGAGGCCCCGCTGCCCAGCGGCTGCTGCGGAGCGGAGCTGGGTGCCGGGTGTGCGAGGTGTACGCTAACCGTTTGCTCTCTGACCCGCTTCGTTTTCCGCACCCGCAGATCTTTCAGAAACCCCTGATGGAGTCTGAGCTGCTGACAGAGAAAGAGGGTGCTATGGTTTTTGTTAACTGGAAGGAGCTGATTATGTGTAATATCAAACTACTGAAGTAAGCCTCCCCCTAACCCCGGCCTTGCTTTGCACCCCCCTGACCTCTCCGCCGCCGGCTCTCACACACTAGCACCTCCGTGTGGCTTCGTCCGCGTGGCCCCGTGCATGCTGCCCCATGTGTTTCCTGCCTTTTCCGCTCATTTCCGCTCACAAGCACCGTGGCTCCTTGTGGCCCCGATGCTTTCTGGGGGTCCCCCCCCGCCCCGCCAGTCTGTCATTGCAGAGTCAATCACCACGTTCCTGCTTTCGCTGCGGGTCTAGAGTCTCCAGAGCGCATGGGGCCCCCCTCCGGGTCCTGGCTCCCTCCCGCCCCAGGGTCTGGGCCAGCTCCCCACTGGCCCCCCGTAGACCGCGGGTCCCCGGGCGCGTATTGTTCTCTTGGGACGTTCTCAGCTCTGTGGATGGAAAGTGGTTGGAGCATTTGCTGCCCACGGTCAGCGTTTCCTCAGGTGCTCGCTCCCAGAAGCCGGCCTGGAGCCCTTGGTGTTTTATTCCCATTTCTATTTTCCAAAGGCGGCTGTAGGGCTGGGAGGCAGGAGACATGGGTTCAGAGCCCAGCTCCCTGCCCTGCCTCTTTGAGCCTCTGTGTCCCCAGCTGTCAAGTGAGGGGATGGGATTATGTCATCACAAAGGCCCCTTCCAGTTCTAAAAAGAACCCCCCAGATCTGGGCCCAGCAGCCATCCATGCTTTGGAACACAACTTGCTAAGATTGTGGACTAGGTCTGCGGTGGTCTGGCGGGGAGAACGGGCCCCCCTCTGCTGGGCCAAGAGTGCAGGGGAGCCCCAGGGAGCTGGTGTCCCTCCCTGAGCTCTACCTTCCTGTAACTAGGAAGGGCGGATTTCCTAAGTGTGAGTCCTGGTTCTTAGAGAGTCATTTCAGGTCTCCGCTCTCCTGAGTGTGTGTTCAGGCACGGTTGGGGGATGGAGAGAGAGGTAGAGGCAAGGTAGAAATAGGACGTCTGCTTTCTCTGTGTTCTGGAAAGCAAATACTCAGAGATGATGACCGGGAGTGCTTTGAGAAAGTATTTCCATCCTCCTCCTCGAGCACCCTGCTGTGGAAACTTCTGGACATAGCTGTGGGGCAGATGGTCGGGCTCATGCCTTGCGCTTTGCCCTGCTGGCTGTGTCTTTGGGCGAGTGACTTACGTTCTCCAGGCCTTGGTGTCCTCGTCTGTAAAATGGGGATGATAAGTGTACCTCCTGCATAGGGTGACTATTGGGGCATCTTTAGATGACACACGCCTGGCCATTGTAAGGGCTGGCTTCAGTCCCCTGGCCTTGGAGAAGGGCTGTCCCATCACCTGGGGCAAAGGGGGCTGGTTAAGCCCCGAACCTATGCATGCTGAACCTGAAGGGTTCCAGCACCTTCTAACTTGTTCTGGGTGGTGTCCTTGGGAAGATGAACTCTCAGACCCCTTGTTTCGGGACCTGTAAAGTTGTAGTCATGGTGTTAGCCTTTTGGAGCACACAGTGTCATTCTGAGAAACGAGGAGGCCAGCCGTGGTCCTGGCATGCTGTCGGTCACATCAACCCTACTGGGACAGCCCGCCTTCCAGCATGGTGTCCCTATGCTCTGGCCCCATCCTCTGATGATCTGATCAGTTCGTTTGGGTGAACTGTCTAATGTCTGGATATTCTAGATAAAATATTTAACAAGAGCCTCCTGGGGACTGGATTTCTTTTTTTTTTTTTTCCCCTTCTCTATATGTCATTATGAAGATTTTTAAACATACAGAAAAATGAAAAGGGTTATAGGGTGAGGACTCATATTGTAGACTGGTCAGGGGACATTTTGCTACACTCCTTTGTTGCATAAACTTAACTTCCTCATGCAAAGGAATCACCCCAACGACAGGGAGTTTTTAGGGCGCCTTGCAGGGTGGGAGAGGAAGGTCTGTTGGAGAAAGAGGACTTAAGGCAGGACTCCCTGGAAAGTCACTAGTGAGTGGCCGCCTGTCTGTCACTCCTGATCCAAGGGCCAGTAACTCCTTGTACTTGGGGTGGGAGTGGGGAGAATATGGGACTTAGGAAACAGAAAAAGAAGACATAAATAAAATGAAGGGGAGCTAACGGGGCATAGGGACTTCCTGCTATGGTTGGGGGTTAGAACGGATGATTTGCTCTTACTGGTGAGTGGAGAGCTGTGAAATTTGCTTTTGAGAAGCGGAGTAGGGAAGAAAGATCTAGAACCTTTCCACACTAAGAGCGGGTGCAGGACCCTCAGCGTAGCTGAAGGGACACAGATGAGACATAGGCTGTGCAAATCCAGGTGCTGGAACTGTTTTTCGTGTTTAATCAACATCCTTTCCTGCATCCTTACTTAGAGGAAAACGAAGGAACTTCTCAAAAAAAAAAAAGTTCTTCTTAAAGTATTCGACCTTCTTTTTAACTTAATTAAGATAGACATAATTTTATTTTGAGCAGAAAACAAAAATAAAGAGTAACAAACCTATCTCAGGGGTAGAGACAGGGTGGGGAGACAGGAAGGAACTTTGGGCCAGGGGTAAGGGAAGGGGAGGGGTGGGGGGAGGGGTAGGTGGGAAAGGCCGGGCAGATGCCAGGAGTGGTGGCAGAGAGAAGAGCCGAGGGCCGTGGGACAAAGGGAAGTCGAGATGGCAGGAGCGGGTTCTGGAGGAAGGACAGGGCCTGCGGGAAGCAGCTCAAGCGTAGAGGCCGGTCTCGGCCTGTGCCTATTGTCCCAGGCTCAGTGCTTATAGACCCCAAGCTACCGGGTCACACTGCCTGGGTTTGAGAACGGCCTCTGTCAGTTTCAGCTGTGTGAGTTTGGGCAAGTGACTCAGTTTCCACGTGCCTCCAGTGTGCCGACAGCCAGGAGGGAGAATAAGCAATGTATGCAGGAAAAGGGTTGGACACTCTAGGACGTATTAATGCCTGCCAGGTCTTGCCGGGTGGGCTTCAGGGGGTCGGGAGCACTCATTCATCCTGCAGACGACTGAGCAGTCTTTGAAATGTTCATTAGCTGATTGATTACCACGGCAGTCCAAGGCCTTGGCCCAGTAAAACTTCAAATGAGATTATGAACCAGCTCACCAAAGGCCAGAGCTGCTGTGACTGAGTCACGTGACCCCTGAGCCCGGTGACACCCTCCTTCAACCCATTTGGACCCAGTTCTCGTAAGTCCTGTCTGTTCAGAACATCCCAGAAGGGGACCCACTACAGAACCTGACAGGTGCCTGGTCCATAGCCGGGGCCTGACCGTAGGCCTGTCCCCTGGCTGGACAAGTTGAGTGTGTTCTGGATGAGTTCTTCCAGAACTCAGGTACTGGTTTAGCCTCTTCAAGACAATGGCCATCTGTGTGTGCTCTTTCTTCTTTTCCTTGTGTCCTCTATGATTTTTGAAAAGTATATGTGTAGAGGGGGTGGTAATTTTATTCCCTTAGGGAAAGATTGTTTTGTTCCTCCTCATACGAAAATGATAGAAAGATGGAATTTCTTCTTGTTTCCATCCATAACAAGTTTATAACACGGTTATGCAGGGATCTGGGGCCCCAGAATTGGGGGTGACATCACCCTTGAGCAAATTTCTCCATGTTGGGAGATATTCCATGCCAACTGCCCCATTGAGTGGTGACCGTTTGGCCATCCTGAGGGCATCCTGAGGTCATCCTGCTGCCACCCCTCACACCAAGCAGCCGGTGCTGACCAGCGCCTCTCCCTACAAGGGTATCTGCTTGAGGTGGAATTACTAATTGTTCAGACCACATAACTTACTGTCTTTCAAATTTCTCTCCTTGACTTGTTCGCCCAGCCCAGGGATTTTTCCTTTAGCCAAAAATGTAGGAGAAAGAAAGTAAAGTGGTCTGAAGTTTCCAAAGCCTAATGCTAATATTGCAGAACTTCCTTGGAATTCTTATAGAGCCATACCCTTGCCTCAGGGCTTCTCCAACATGGCC